AGATTCCAAATTCCCCAGATTCCAAATTTCCCAAATGCCAAATTCCCCAAATTCCCCAAATCCCAAATTCCCGGGATTCCAAATTCCCCAGATTCCAAATTCCCCAAATTCCAAACTCCCCAAATCCCAAATTCCCTGGATCCCAAATTCCCTAGATCCCGAATTTTCCAGATCCCAAACTCCCCAAATCCCAAATTCACCATATCCCAAATTTTGTAGATGCAAATATTCCCAGGTTGCAATTGGCAATATTAAAAATCCCTAGACTCGAATATCTCTACGCGACTAGTTAAAAATTAATTTCTTTATCGATAATATTTCGATTCTAGTATAATTTAAATACCGTTCGTAATGTTCTCTGTTCGATTGTTCGGCTAAATCGGTTTCATATCGGTGGTCACTAATGACCCCTCCCATTGCAGTCAACTGTAAATCATAGAGAACCGTTGTTTCCTTTCTCTGGTAAGGAAATATAGGGACGCTCGGAATCGTATTCCGATCGGAAAGCACATTATCCGAGGTACACGAGTAATATTCATAGACGCCAGCGTAGTTAATTGCGAGATAAACGACGTTATTCAACAGAATGAAATGGTTAGAGTGGATGATGATCCGGAGGAAGTGGACGCGATTATCGACAGTGATCTTAATCGTAGGTGAAAGAAATTCCTCCCACATCGTATGAAAATGCCCAGGGAAACAATTGCTAGAGCTTTTTGAACATCGCATGCAACATTCGTCATCGCCGCTGCTAATCGGTGCATTACTTCATCAGCCTAGTAAAGACCACGGTAAAGGACGTCTGCTTTCAGCGATGACGACATTCAGGCTTGTCGAACTTGCACACGAACCGGCCATTCTACGAATTCTTTGCGGATTTCTGCATAACATATGGATGTATCATGTTTTCGTACCGTTTCGGCATACAGATTTTGCTAGAAGTTTAAAAAGATGTTCGATCACGAATTCTTGTATTTCACGCATTCTTAGATTTTATGCATTACATTACACATATCGTGTGTATTATATTATTATACGTATTACAAGTATCGTGCATAATTTTCGAATGGGTAGGTCGAACAATGTACGTATCAAGTATCATAGACACACATGAATTCTTCAAGAAATAAATTAAAAAGTTTCTATAGAACTTCCTAGGTATTACGCTTTTATCGTGAGTAGACTGCAGATGCTACGATATATCCAGGTGTGTAAAGTAAACATACGAGCAATTTATAGACTGGATATAGTTTATTCGATTTGTGCATGGCCGAGGTGTTACAAACGCATAAACATCCGCAGTCAATTCGTTCAGTACCGTGATCTTATTTCATCTAGGAAGTTCGTTACAAAAGGTGTTCCTGTTGTTTTTTTTCCGTCGATCGCAACATTACACAACGCGTCGCCGGCACGGATTTATGTAATTACCCTTTTGTCAGGTTAGGTCGTTGCGTAGTCCCGTAACGAGATATTCGTTCCGAATTGAACGTTAAACCGTGATTTCCGTTTTAATGATGCGCACACGAGTCCCACCCTTTTCTGTTCGTCTGCATGAATCACGTTTCGCGCACGACGTCTGTAATGATCGCAAAAAAGCACGGGATCGTTGTCGGACACGATTTTTCCAGCTCGTCCTCGTCGAAGCATTAATGGTATTTGTAACGACAAACGGCATATCCCGGTATGGTTCTGATTCCGTGCAATTGAGGTTGAATTACTGTTTGCTTCTCTACCATTGCATAAGGGACTGTGTATTCATGCTGCTTTTCACAGTCGATTCGAATCATATAAACTCGGCAAAGCGTGTCGGTCAGGGTCGCGCACGTTATTTCGTGTCTACTTTTAATTCGCTGAAACGTATATAAATCTCGAGGAACCCTATGCTAAACACGATAAAACGCTAGACTCTTACACTCGTTATATACGGATAGACTTTTATGTGCACACAACTATCTAAGGTCTAGTAGAGTTTAGAAATATGGGAATTAAAGAATTTTAAGGTATAGGAATATTGAAATCTAAGAATTTCAAAGCTTCACTGTCAAAGGATGTTGAGATCTAGGGACTTTGGGATTTTCAGACTTTTGGATGTAACGGTATTCGAATCTAGGGATTTCGGGATCTAGGGATAGGGATATTAAGATCTAGGGATATTCTAAGGATTCTGGGGATATTAGGATCTAGGGATTCTAGGGATATCCTAGATATATTAGGATCTGGGGATATTCTAGGGATATTAGGATCTAGGGATATCCTAGGGATTCTAGGCATATCCTAGGGATATTAGGATCTGGAGATATTCTAGGGATATTAGGATCTGGGGACATTCTAGGGATATTGGGATCTAGGGATATTCTAGAGATTCTAGGGAAATTAGGATCTAGGGATATTGAGGTCTAGGGATTCTAGGGATATTAGGATCTACGGATATCCTAAGGATTCCAGGAATATTAGGATCTAGGGATATTAAGGTCTAGGGATATTCTAGAGATTCTAGGGATATTAGGATCTAGGAATATTAAGGTCTAGTGATTCTAGGGATGTTAAAGTCTAGGGATATCCTAGGGATCCTAGGAATATCCTAAAGATTCTAGGGATATTAGGATCTAGAGAAATTGGAAATCCTGAGAATTCCACGTCTACAGATTTTTTAATCTAGAGATTTCAGAATCCAGAACCATTGTTGTCTAGGGATATTTGGATCAGGAGATTTCGAGTTCTAGAAATATTACCATATATTGATTTCACTATCTTTTATGATTTAAAAAGTTGGAAGTCCAGGGATGTTTTATCTAGAGTTTTGAGATTTGAGAATTTTAGAATCCAAAAGTTTAGGAATATAATTGCAAAGTATAATAATATAACATATGATCAATCTCATCCAGAAGGTATTAATATAGGTGAAAGTGGATTTGAAACTGGCAATATAACAAAAGTACCGTACTTAACATTTCATCGAATTAAATTTCACTAGATATCCCAATTAACGGAATCTAGCGCAAAACTTTCATTATCAAGCGTTTTCCGGTTTTGTGAACACTCATACAGATAAGAATATGTAGAACGAAATACATATGTGGAATTTCATGCATCAACCCACTTATTTGAATTCGCAAATTTCACTCGTACTTAGCGAAATCTCGTACAATATTTCTTATTACGAAATAAAAAAATCATTGGTTAAATTCGGTATAATATAAACTCTTGAAATGTTTAAGCAGAATTTCAAGTCGTAAAATATTTTTATGATTCGATCGAATCATTGAACATTTATTATCGAACGCTTTCCAGTTCTATGAAAACACGCATTAATTCTGTATGCGAGCACTTAGGCCATCGGAGTTAGCTCGCTTTGCCGACTCGCCATTCAAGGAATTAATCGATCGGCAAATTATCCAAGTTTTTATTACCTTATCGGCTAGCAATACCTGATACGAGATATTTTAATCCGCAAGCTATTATAAATATCGCAAGTTTATTGGCTTTGTATCGAGACATTGCTCTCGATCTATATATACGTAAGGAGAGTGTACACACGCGTTCATTCTGTTGCTCGAAGAAGGGCCAACGACCTGTAGTAAATGTACACATGTGCCTTTAACGTACGTAACTACAACCTGTCCTCTGAAAGTCTTACGAAATCACTAGTACTATTTTCTCTAACGTTCCTACGCGCTGATCTCAGACACCGCATAGACGGAGAGATCCTGCTTACCCGACGTATGATTACGCACCAACGGTACCGCATAAAAGTACTACTTTTTTCCTCCTTTTTTATCGTTCACCGTAAATCTCGTAGAGTAGCACGCATCTGGTGCACACCAGATGATAATGCGCGAACATTAAATCACCGTTGCAAGAAAAAAGACCTGTATTCGTTCTGGGAATAAAAGATTCCTCCACATCTCAAACAGCAACATTTCGAAATTAGAAAACTCTGGTAAAATATTCTCATCGAGAGTTTTGCAGTTCCGCACAGTTTCGAGTACTTCGGAATTATATTCCCCGCGTGTTTTCCTTCGTTAATGAGATAGAAACCACGATGCTTTATGGAGGGTACGTGTAACTCCAAGAGCTCCGGCAAATATTGATTATTTCTCTACATGGCACCCTCTAGTCTAGACAGGATCTATACTCGAACACACTAAACCGGTACACGCGATCTTTTCCCCGAGCGAAAATGAATTTATCGTACTTCTTTTATTTATTGCATTTTTCCTGTTTTAGCACAGGGCTGAAATATGCCGGAGGAACAGAAGTCAGCTGGTGGCCCACCAGAGGTAACGGCAGAAAATGGAACCGGAACGAATTCGCCAACAAAAAGTCCAGTTAGCAAAGGCAAAATGGCCCTTGCGAGAATCACCCTTCTTGATGGGACCGTCAAAGATTTCCACATAGATGTAAGCTACTTATTTCTACCCTCATACTTATAGTACATTTAAAATTTGTTAACATTAGTACCTGAACAATATTTCATTTTCTAAATAAATAATTACAGAGGAAAGCAAAAGGTCAGGACCTACTCGACATGATCTGTCAGAGTATGAACCTGCTGGAGAAGGACTACTTCGGTCTCATTTACGAGGACAGACACGACACGCGCAACTGGTTAGACCTGGACAAAAGGATTGCAAAATTTGTAAAAAGTAAGTTATATTCCACATACCACTTATATCGTTATCTTTTAAATTAATATTTTCTTCCAATGTTGTAGACGAGCCGTGGAAATTTAATTTCGAGGTGAAATTTTATCCACCGGATCCAGCTCAATTGCAAGAGGACATAACTCGTTATCAGCTATGTCTTCAAATTAGGAACGACATCATCACAGGACGATTACCGTGTTCTTTTGTGACTCACGCACTTTTAGGCTCTTATTTAGTTCAATCAGAAGTTGGAGATTACGACCCGGACGAGCACGGTCGTACATACTTGAAGGATTTCAAGTTCGCCCCGAATCAGACGCCAGAATTGGTAGAAAAAGTAATGGATCTGCATAAAACGCATAAGTTAGTGGATTGTTAATTACGAGTTTAGAAGTGATTTGTTAATCAGAGATGATAAAAGAACATTCACGAATTTTTAGAGGTCAAACACCTGCGGAGGCAGAACTACACTACCTTGAGAACGCGAAAAAGTTAGCAATGTACGGAGTTGATCTCCATCCTGTTAAAGACTCTGCAGGGGTTGATATAATGTTGGGTGTATGCTCGTCGGGTCTGCTTGTCTACAGGGATCGATTGAGGATCAATAGGTTCGCTTGGCCAAAAATATTAAAGATATCGTACAAGAGGCATAACTTTTACATCAAAATTAGACCCGGTGAATTTGAGCAGTTTGAATCGACGATAGGCTTCAAACTAGCGAATCACAGGGCGGCGAAAAAGTTGTGGAAAGTATGCGTTGAACACCATACCTTCTTCAGGTAACAACTCAAATTGCAAACATCAAACTTGAAAATGATTCTAATTACATGTCTTTGTAGGCTCATGAGTCCTGAGCCTGTCAAGAAGGTGGGTTTGATACCTCATTTGGGTTCTCGTTTCCGGTACTCGGGAAGAACTCATTACGAAACGAAGAAGACCCCTATCGATAGACAACCGCCACAATTTGAAAGATCTTTGAGTGGTCGACGTCCCACGTCTCGCAGTATGGACGGTAAAAGAAATTCTTCTGAAATTCGTTGACTTTGACCCAATGTATTGCAATCCGCACATGTTTTATGCAGCACTAGGTGGACCAAAACAAGTTGAATCTTATGGTTCAGAACCAAGTAAGAGACATACGATGAGCTATGAACCAGAAATGATTCCTGACATGGAGCATATAGATCAACGGCCTAGTCCAATTAAAAAGCAAAAGGAAAAGGTGAAAAAGAATATACTCATACTATACACCTATATTATTGACCATACATAGTGATAGTCTGTAGAAGATGCATGAACTCGTCATGCAAATGGAAGATTATTTCATGAATAATTTATTTTAAGGATAACATTTTTGCGGTCTACGCTTTCAAACAATGTTTACATACATATTTGAGTACATTAATGATCTCGAAATTTGAACTAATTGTCTAACTTCATATAACAACATCCTGTTTGGTATATCATTGAAAGAATAATGAGAAATTGTAGAACACCAATTGGATCACTTGGAGAAAATACGACAATTTTCATAGATAGAACAATTTTATCATTACGCACTATTTTTTCAGATTAAACAAACAATATTAGTAGCCATGGCATGCTAATAATTAATCGTGTGCCATGTATTAGACATGGTTGTATGCGTTAGATATTTTATCACATGTGTTCTGAATTCGTGAGAACATTTTAAACAAGTGAAATACAAGTTAATTAACATTGATCATAGATAAATTTCAATTTGAGAGAAATCAATATTTGTACGTGTTACAAAAATTCCTAGATTCATAAATCACTCCCAAATATTTCTAGATCCCTGTAAACCTATATTAGTGTATTCCTAGATCCTTGTTTTAGTTAATATAATGATGGTGGGTATTAAAACTATTCTGTTGATTAACTTGTATATAAGTTTATGAAGATATGAAGTATGCAAAAGACAGGAATGCGTAGAATTTACAAGACTTCGTGTTATAATGATCAGACATTAAGCACACGACATTTGTACGTGATAATTTAATTTTTCAAGTTGAATCTTCACATGTTAGTGCTTCGATCATTAAAAAAAACTAACTGACACCTAACTAACACCGGTAGCTCACACGCAAAACAAGTGCTGGAACAACATCAGCTAGCAGTACCAGTAGCCTGGAAGGAGAATATGACGCAGATCGTGGCAAAAAGGTATAGAATTTCACCTGGAACATACTATCATGCATTAACCAATCAGTTTTCTATTTGCATTAATGTATGTGACCATTTGGTGTTTTCCTTTTTTTCGATGCATGCAATTATATTCTGTTTTACCATTCGCAAACATACGGCCATCGCCTCAAAGCTGACCTACTGAAATTTTTTAATATTTTCATTTATTCTAACACGTCACACGAGCATGCGCAGGTGCAAATATTTTCATACAGGTTTTTTAACTGCGCCAATGCTTGTGTTAGCATGCGATTAACAATTAATCATCACCTATATAACATCTTATAACAATAAAAAATACGGTATCATCTTCGAGCAAACTTTCCAGGACAGTTCGTTAGTAACAACTGACCAACAACTGATATTTTTTTGAGAGCGCAGACCGTACTTAGTTGTGAAGCATGAAATATGTGCCAAGAGAATGTATAAAACCATGTAGTCTATAATAGCTTAACAGTAAAGTTGATTCGTGCTTATTGCATGAAGCGATGTGTGACTATAAATTTACTTATAGAAACCGGTCGGAGGAATCGCGGTCCTACCGCCCGGTGGTCTATCTAAGAAGAAAAAGGATAAACAAAATGAAAATGAGAAGGAAAATCATAATGATCTCAACAATTCTGATTTGATAAATGAAAGTGCTCTTGACAACGACGTTAAGTCGCCCAGTAAGAAAGGGTTGAAAAAGAAAGATAAGGAAACGCCAGAAAAAACAGATAAAGAAAAGAAAGAAAAAATAAAGGTAAGTATTATATTGTTCCGCTAACTGTGCTATAGCTTATAATATACTTAGCGAGAGAGATCATAGTTAATTGTGTCCGTTAGAACAAGATATTCGTGCACAGAAATTGTAGATATTTAATATGTAGGGAGAAGAATATTCCATCGATTGTTTCTTTAAAGTCAGATCAGTTCATTGAGTTATCGATGAATATTTTCTCCCTAAATTTTTTAAACTCAAACAACCATCGACCAATCGAACTTGTTAAGTTAGATACGTTCTGTAAAGGAAACTAGTATTGTAAAGGCTCGTAGTATTTATTAGCTTCATTAGGTTTTCTGTAAGAGATATAAGTTTGTTATATAGCATGTTTTGGCATTGCATGTTTTTGTTTATCATAAAAGAGTCCTGTTGGCGGCTTCCTATTTGGCAAAAAAGAAAAGGATTCGAAGCAGAAGAAGCAGAAAAAGAACAAAGAGCTTGAAGAATCGATGGAAAAGAGCGACACGGAGTCGAATCTTTCCATGTCGGAAAAGCAATTGAAATCGTTGAGTGAGAAATCAAGTAGCGAACAAACGAAGACAAGTCCAGAGTCACCGCAACTGCCCAGCTACACAAAACCTTATGACTACGAAGAAACTGAAACGTCTCCGACGAAGAAACCGTTCACGCCGCATGGATTCTCGTACGAGGATAGACCTGCGTCGCCCGAAGTCCAAAATCAGCAATCGCCAACCGCTGCAAGTCGAAAAGCTACAGGCTTAGCTTTTAATTACGCCCCTGGCGAAGAGAAGAAAGTGGCAGAGTCAGCGGAAAAGAGGAAAACCAAAGAAGCAGAAACTAAACCCCCGGCGGGATTGAAAACTCCTGGCCTCAATTATGTGGAATCTGCGGGATTGAAAGAACAACAGAAAGCTGTATCCAAGCCAGACCTAGAACAGAGTGCATCAACGGCGCTTATCGCTGCTGAAAAAGGTGCTTCTTGCCTGCCAGCTGTAGTTCAGTCACCCGTCACAGACTCCAAACCGGAGTACCACATTCTGCCGCTTCCAGATGGTTCTAAAATTATTGGAGGTGTTATTTATACCAAAGATGGTAAACTGTTGGACCAACACAATTTTGGGCCAGAGCACAGCAAAGTGTTGGGAGGAAAGATTCATGGAAAGGATGGAAATTTGGTTAAAAAGTCTGAATTTGGCCCACATGGAATTTACATTCACAATGGCATCGTTACGACTAAAGATGGCAAACCGGTGAATCAAGAGGTCTTAGGAGTTGAAACGAATTTCGTCAAAGATGGTGTTATATATGGTTCAGATGGACAAGTACTTGACCAGTATCTACTGGGACTGGAACACGCATTGCTTAAGGAAGGTAAAGTTGTGATGAAGAATGGAAAACCGGTACAATACCATAAACTGGGTACTAATGGAACATACGTAAAAGATGGCCTTATATTTACTTCTGATTCTAAGCCGCTCACTCAAGGATCATATGACATAGGTAGAAATTACATTGTTGGTGGAGTAGTGTGTAACGAGAATGGAAAACCTTTGAATCAATTTGCTGTAATACCTGATGAAACGTACATCTGTGATGGATTAGTTTATGGATCCAATGGAACTGCAGTTTCTAATGGCACCTTGGGTCATGAAGGTCATTATATAGCAGACGGAAAAGTTTACACCAAGGATGGTAAACCAATGAAACACGAATCTTTTAGTTCTGATGGGTCTGTCATTAAAGATGGTATTATTTACACAAAAGATGGAAAGTTCTTAAATCAAGGATCTTTGCTTCCTAGTGGTGCTTACTTAAAGGATGGCAAAGTTGTTACTAAAGATGGGAAAATAGTCAAACATGCATTTTATAAGCTTGATGGAAGTTTCATAAAAGATGGTATTATTCATGGCAAAGATGGTAGACCTTTGAGTCAGATTCCTTTGTTGGCTGACGGAAGCTTCATCAAAGAAGGAGTCATACATGATAAAACGAACAAACCATTGTCGCAGAATCTTTTCAAACCGGATAACATTATAATTAAAGATGGCATAGTTTATGATACGAATGGAGTAATGTTATCGGATGCTATGCTGGGACCAGATGGCCTGATGATAAAAGATGGAATAATATTTGGCAAAGATGGTAAACCTGTTAAGCAAGAATCTTTCGGCTCAAATGGAAATTATATAAAGAAGGGTATCATTCATTCAAAAAGCGGAAAACCTCTTAATCAAGATTCGTTCATACCTGAAGGTACATCTATTAAAGACGGCAAATTGTACAATAAAGATGGAAAGCTGTTAAAGTTCTCATTTTTCAAGCCAGACGGAAGTTACGTTAAAGATGGTCTTGTGTATGGTAAAGACAATAGACCTCTGAATTTATGTTCAGCACTTCCAGAAGACAGTTTTATTGCAAATGGGGTCATTTTCGACTGTACTGGTACGCCTTTGGCTAGGAACATGTTTGGATCTGATGGTTCGTATGTCGCTGGTGGCATAATTCATAACAAAGATGGTAAGATAATTTCGGAGGGTGTTTTTGGACCTGACGGTAGTATTATAAAGAATGGTTTGATCATTGGTAGAGATGGAAAACCTTTAACTCAAGATGACAAAGGACCAGACAATTTAGCAATAAAGGATGGTAAAGTGGTTGATAATCAAGGAAATCCTAAAAACTTAGCATCACTTGTCCCAGATGGCTGTTACATTCAAGATGGTGTAGTTTATGATAGAAACCAATATCCTCTGAAACAAGGAGCATTCAAACCTGATGGTAGTTATATCAGAGACGGTCTTATATATGGATGGGGTGGGCAGTTGTTGAACGTTGGCACTGAATTACCTAATGGAAGTTACATACAAGAAGGTAGAATTTACGGCAAAGACAAACAACCTTTAGATCACAGCTCGTTTGGTACCGACGGAGGATATATTGCTAACGGCTACATTTATGGAAAAGACAGGCAATTACTTACTCACGGAACGTTTGGAAATGACGGAAGTTACATAAAAAATGGATTATTATACGGGTCGAATGGAAAACCGTTGAACCGAAAACAGTCAGTAATCTCTATTACACTTGTCCGCTATGGTTTGGTATATGGTACCGACGGTAAACCATTAAAATCTGGTAACTTTGATGTCAATGGAAGCGTCGTTAAAAATGGAAGAATATATGACCATGCTGGTCAGCCTTTGAACCAGGCTTCTTATAGGAATGATGGAAGCTTTATCAAAGATGGTCTTATTTATGGAAGTAATGGAAAACCAATGTCCCAAGGTAATTTACCACCTGAGAAAAGTTTTATTAGAAATGGAAAGATCTATGATTCCAATGGTCAGTTGTTAACCCAAGAAGCTTTTGGACCTGAAGGTTTGAAAGTGGTACAAGGAGTTGTGGTAGATAAGACTGGTAAACCATTGAAACAAGGAAACTTTGATGCAGAAGGGAACATCATTAAAGATGGTATTATTTGCACGTCAGCAGGCAAACCTCTGGATAAATATTTCACTGTAATTACTATTACTTTAGTCAGAAATGGTTTGCTCTGCGACAAAGATGGAAAACCGGTCAAGCAAGCACCATTTGGAAGCGACGGTAGTTACGTTAAAGATGGAAAGATCCATGACAAATTTGGTAAATTGATGAATCAAGAAATCTTTGGAGACGATGGGGCCTATCTAAAAGATGGTGTTATATACAGTCCTATAGGACAACCTTTAGACAGTGATACAATTTTGAAAGATATGAAAGATGCAACAAAGCCGGTTGCAACAAAAACGAAGAAAGTTATAACTACAAATACTACACCAACAATAGTGAAAACGACGACTAAACAATCAGTGGTGAAGGATCAAGAAGGTGTGACGCAAAATATAGAAGAAAAAGTTGAAGATCTTACACCTGGAGGCACTGGCCAAGTAACAGTTTCTACACAGATTAACAAGGTGATACAACTTTTAATAAAATATTTAATGTAATATAGAATACAATTAACTACCTCACTAACTGTAAGGTAAGGAATCTTAGCAAAAACAACATATGAGTTGAGGAACTGATTCGCTTCTAATATTTGACAAAAACCTCACAGTAAATATAAATTTGATACTGTACTGATTATAATATAAGTAAAGACTTTGCACTGTAGTCATTGCTGTGTGATTATTGGTCGCTGAATATATATTGCATGCAATAAATGTGTACTGTTGATATCAGTTTTAAATGTAAATATTGCTACACAAACAGTAAGGTAACATACTAAGGTTTTGTTACTTGGGTAAAAAATTTGGGGGTTTCAAATTTAATTTCTAAATTTCATAATCAAGAAAGTCCTATATTGCAGCCATAATGGTAATCTCAAAGCAGTTCATTATTTTGAAATTAGTACATAAAATGAATTAGAATTAGAAAATTAACTCACTAACACCTGTGGTCATTTTCTGTACACATATATTGTTTTATTATGAGACGTTAGTTACCTTGTAGTTGTATTTAGGCAGAGGCACCTGATGACGGTAGAGCTCCATACATGACAGCGACTGCTGTCACCACACGTACAGCTACAATGCACGAGGATCTTGAAAAAAATCAAAAGACCAGTCAGGTTTGTAGTACTACTGAATGTTACAAAACTTTCAAACTACATGCTTATTATATTAAATTCTACTTCAATTATTTCACATTCATCATACAAATACTTTCAGTTTGCTTATTGACTGATTATATTGTTTTATAGTGCTAGAGTTATTTTTTTGTCATTTTTTTATATTAGGTAGAGGAAAAGACTGTAGCGCATACAACAGCAACCAGTGCGACAAGACAGGAGCAGAGAGTAGTGACACAAGAAGTTCGAACAACCAGTCACGTGCTTTCCGGTGAACAGGTAATATTGTATTCATGACAAAATATGCAGAACTCCCCACTAATGAATGAAGCATGTAAAATATTTATGTAAATCATCATATGTTGTGTTATTGGTTCAGCCTAACATTAAATCATTAAAAGCTACTATATTACATGCTGGTAATATGGTAATATTGCACATACATTTATGCATTTTTTTAAGTTCATGGAAAATCAGTTAACATTTTGAGGTTTATAATTTTCATAACACATACATATTTACTTTTAAATATATATAATTTTATTCTTATAAATAAATAAAAATCATACACCTGCCCAATATACATATAACAGGATTATACAATATGTCCAACCAAAGGGGCTGTAACTTGTTTAGTACATAGCAAAATCTAACTCATTCAGGATTTGGTTAATTTACAAAGTTTAACCGGTGCTATTTTTCATTTAATTATTTTTTTTTATTTTTGTAATTAATTTTTGCCGGCTTGGTTAACACATTGCATGGTGTAGCTGTTCTCACGAAGGCTCAGTACATCAAGTTCAAGCAGCGATGATTCAGGTACTCCAATTGACCTTGAAGATGATCAGCAGGCTTTCTACAATCAGTACTATCAGGTAAATCTAGGAAAATAGTACAATTGCGTTATTTCTTTAAAAGTGAAATATGTTGAATTAAGATACTGTTTTAAAAATTATTCTGAGGGGTCGTCCTTCAGCAAGGTACATTCAGGTATTTTTACACCACAAGCTGTATTTTAAAAATCAGCTTTCTTTACCAAGAATATTAATAATAATTTATTCACTTATTGTTATTTAAATTATTTCAAAGTATCATCTACTTTTCATCTGTATTCATTTCATACCGGTTGCCTAACATTTATGGGAAAAATCATTACAAAAAGTTTAATCTATCCATTACCATAGAAGCACTGGTGTTAAGGTATTAATCAGTAGTTACAAATAACACTTTTAATTTATAATGTGTACAGTCTATAAGGTATGAATAATGCTTTGGTCCTGTACATCCCTTGCATTTATATTTTAATATAATGTAAATGTACTTGTATAGTATTAATAGAGTTTGCTGCATTCTATTAGGTGTACTTTATTTATAGACACAATACTGACATATGAATTTCATTTAGGGTGATCAAGCTGGTGTTGTTGAAACTGAAGCACATGTTTACAAAGGAGAACCAGAACATAATGTGACTACAACTACTACAGTTCCACTAGTAGCAACTGAAACCAGAAAAGTAGCTGTTGAAAGTGAAGATGGCATGTACAGTGCGACTGGAGAAATAGTCAGTTCTCAAACAATATCGAGTAAGACTCGTACAGTTGAGACAATAACGGTAAGATTTTCAGTTTTAATAATATATCCTTTCGCAGATGTGTAATACCATTTATATATTATGTATTTTTAGTACAAAACTGAAAGAGATGGAGTTGTAGAAACGCGTGTAGAGCAGAAAATAACGATACAATCGGATGGCGATCCGATTGATCACGACAGAGCATTGGCAGAGGCCATTCAAGAAGCAACCGCTATGAATCCTGATATGACAGTAGAGAAAATAGAAATTCAACAGCAGACAGCGCAGTAACCAGATTTAAAAACAGTTTTGTAAGAGATTAAGGGCACTCTCGAGTCTAAAGCTTAAAATTCTGAAAACTAGACAATTAAATCGATACTCTCTGTATCATACATTGACATGCATTTACGATATTGTATGATAAATGATCGAATTGAATCTTGCTATCGTCATCAATTACTTAAGTGTTTGGCAGATAGGGGAAAATATTTTCCTCTAAGAGTTGGAAACATTATTTCTTAGCAAATGTTGTCCATTAATACGAGCTTGAACTTGATTAAAAATCGAGTTATTACAAGAAAGCCGTGAGTGATGTTTTCTTCTAAGAAAAAAAATTGTGGTATCTCGTACCATAAACTGCAGTGTTCATATTCAGAATATGTATTATTTACATATACAGAGACGTAAAATATATATTATACATGTTATGTATACATAGCGATGTATGTACGTAAATAAAATAAATTTGTTTTATAGTTCTAATGATAAGACAGAGTGCCCTATAAACTTACATTACTGTTTTATAGTAAATACAATGATATTCATGCGATGTCTCCAGTAACAAGCATAGTATATCATATAAAACTTGTTCAGGTGGTACACAGTAAAACAACCTTATTAAGCTTAATTTTTATTTTAATTTTTGCCGATATTCTGTTGTGACTTGAATTTCTATTTTTGAAATATCAACCTTTGAGCCTAATATAAATAAAATAATTAAAAGAAATATTAAAAAATGTTTTAAACAGTCGCGAGAGTATTTAAGTGTATAATTAATATATATATTTGAATTATACAAGCAGTACAATACACACATATATATATAGCATAATTTTATGAAACTATTGATAATTACTTCAAGATTAGTATATCGGAAAGTAACAGTGGAAGACTTATAATACATAAGCCTCAAACACACAAATTTTTTTATAACGTTTCATGCGATTTATAGCTTTCCTGCAATATGTTCTTTTGTATAGTTTAAATATTTGTGATATATATTTTTTTCAAAACAAATATTACATAATGTTTATTGTGTGACAAAGTCTTTTAAATATAAAATATTAATATATACATAAAAAATATATATATATATACATGTATACATAAACATTTATGGTTATTTGATAAAACTTATAGAAGTCTACAAAGTTTCCTGTAACTTAAAGTATTAATATTTAGCAATGTGAAACTGAAAGGGGATACACGTTGTTAACATTGCTATTGTATACAATTTTTATTTAATAATTTAAAAATATGCATTTGGAAGCTATGTAGATTTTCTTAAGCTATATACTACAGAAATGAAAAGATGTATTAATAACATTGATAAGATAAAGAAATTATATGTATGTATCTCCACGCCAAGAGCTATGAAGCATTGGTCAGCGTACATGTCTAAATTTAGCTGTAATTTCTGTAGTTTTAAGACTACACTTTCATATAAGATTTTGTTTGTTCAATAGTTTATTTAATTTTTTTGTATGAAACATGAAAAATATTGCTAAGATACAAAAAAAGGCTGATAACCTGAATCTACAATATAAAGTTATTAAGATGCAAGTCATACTTTGAACAAATAAATCTACCTAAATATATAAATTTATAAATATTAATTACACACCGCAGTTTCGTATATTTATGTATTAATAGTATGTATATTGTTCACGCGGCAGTTATAAAGCAACATTAAATATGCATATCACACTGTAGGAGGCTTGTTTATACCTTTGTTCTTTAAACTGTTGTTTAAAAGTCTATTAATATGAATTACGCTTGCATTTTGCACAAAGCATTTATTTTATTGTACTAAATATAATATGTTTATATGATAATTATAAATTAATGTTTTTTACTTTTCTACTTTTTACACATAACATGTAATAAATTCAATGAAAAAATTTAGATGTACTATTAGGTTTAAACTATTACACTGATTTATATCTATTTTGTATAAATAAATGATTTCTTCCAAGTTATAATGCTCGTAAGATTTGTATTACGTAAAATCATCAAAGTTTCTGTAGAACAAAGGATAATCATTGACCATCTACGTGCGAATTGCATTAAATATTGTATGTTAAGTTTTGTTATACGCTGGCAGCTAAATGAATTGTTCGAATAATATAAAATATACCGATTCATTAATTTCATTTTATTTTATGGCGTTAGATATATCTTAAATATGCTCAACCATTTCGTAACATCTACATATTTGTTTTTCAACATTATTTATAAGTAGTGTAAGAGATTTCATAGATTGATTTTTATGTTTCCATATTATAAAAAGTAGTAAAGTTACGATAGAGAAGAAGTTAATTTTCTACTTGTACCTTTTATACCATGTAATTCTATGATTTATATATATATTTGTTTTTATTGTATCTAACATTCCATGCTTATAGTGACTAACAGATATGTATCATAAATGCCTGTGTCATTTAAAAAATTATTTATTTGTTTATTCGTATAATTAAAATTATCATAATTTTATATTAGCTCTGCTTGAAGAAACTGTTATGTTGCTTACACACAGTTCATTGTATGTAAAAAATTTCTCCATCGCGTACAATTCATTTTTATTAATTCAGACAACATAAACGAAGTTAAGCTTTAAAGATAAGATATGGATCTTCAAGCAGCGTACAAACGTAGCTAATAGTATTTTGTACTTTAATACTTCTGTGGTTCATTTAGTGATAACATAATGATTATAATATTATATACTTAATATTATAGTTCTATGATATTATAATTATAATATAATAGTATTTTATGTGTAAGAACGTCATAACTGTTTAACTATGCACGTTTTGTTATTTCTAAATTGAATTATCGTTTTACACGCATGAATTTCAATGTACTTTATTTTCAACTATGAAGATGTTATTTTAATGCACATTTATATATATATAATATAAATTTCGCCTTACTGCTAGAAAGTTGTATAAAACATTTTTTCGTAATTAATTTGCCTCCGGCTTCTTATGATAATTTTGCCATACATTTTCTTTCAGCGAATTCGATCATAGATTTTATTTTTATCGTGTACACGACTTTCCAGCATGCAGGCAATGATAAATGACTTACATAGAAGTTATTTCATAAAGCATATATATTCTAAAAAAAAAAAAGTAAATACGAATGAGAAATACACAATGAATTATAAATAATTTTCTATAAAAGAGAGTATTAATAAACAAAAAAAAATATATCTAACTGACAAATCGTTTTCTTGCATGTATATATGTATAATATCACAAAGATGTTTCAAATTAGTGGCAGTTCAATAGTTTTATTATGTATCGAAGGTCGTATAACATGAGAATGCTTGACTTTAGCTGTTTTATTCCAAAATGGCCTTGGAGTGATATGTCCATTTCTTTTAGCATCTGCGCCTGACGCTAAGTTAATTGTAATGATTAATCAATATTAATATTTCTCTACAATAAAACAGTCAAAATAACACTCTTCTATCAATTTACCCATTTTCCATGGTGGAAAGATGTACGGTTGCATTTCATCAATGGCAGATGAAATTGTAACAAACGACTTTGGATTGGGGTATTGAAACATTGCTCTAGATATAGATTTCTTTAATGCAGGAGGTAAATTTAATGAACCTATAACCAGGAAAATTTTATTATATTACAAATTTCTTAGAAAATGAACTTTAGAATTATACTTGTTATGTCTTCATCCATTTTAGTCTCTGATGATTTTTTAGTATGATGAAGATGCTTCTTCATTTTAAATCTTTTCACAAAACATCTAAATATGTCTGTCACTGGTTTTCCATCCAAAGTTGCTGTTAATTAATATGGTTTATATTATAAAAGCGAAACTTATATGTTGCTGAAAGATACAATGTAAACATACTTATTGTATCACTATTGGCAATTAGATTTTCCTTATATCTGTGATACTCAGTTACAGAATTGCCTTGCAAGGATAAATTTTTTAATGAATTCAAGGCACTTATACATTCTGTTAAATCATCTATATCATCAATAATATTGTTTTCAGCTTCTAAAACTTCTAATTTGTGCAACACCTTAATACTCTTTAGTGATACTATTTTATTCCCCGAGATATTGAGTATTTTCAAACAGGTCTGAGACAAAGAATCATTTTAAATTTATTGAAATTCATGAATAAAAATATCGACTTACGGATAGAGTGTGTACGCTACGTGGATCGAAACATAATGATTCTCCTGAAGACAGTTGTTGATTTTCTATGTGCAACGCGGTTAAATTTTTTAAACGTTCAAGACCTTCAACCACGACTATGTTATTGTATCCTAAGTAAAGAGTTTGCAATTTGTGCAAGGAGTCTAAATTTTCGATTTTGCTGATTTGATTATGCTGTAGGTAGAGATGCGTCAAATTTGTTGCAAAATTAAGATTTTCTATTTTTGATATATTGTTATTTTGTAAGTATATTACTCTCAGGTTCTTAAAAGCCGCAAAATTACCCTGTGATAAAAATCATAGACGAATATTATGATTATTATTATTATTTGATGATTGACTCACAATACTGCTGATAGACATGTCATTCATCCTCAAATGTGTTAAGCCGTATAGCTCATTCTTCTGTAGTTTTTTAGTAAGAGATTTGTTCAGTTGAATTTGAGAACATTTTTTTTCGACATATTCAACGGTTAATCTTACCATGATTAATTTTCACTAAACTACACAGAACGTAATATAACTGATAAAGTTATACCTTTATAATTGATCAAACATTAATTAGAATGGCGCGCTTTCTAATAAGTGCTATCTTAGCGACATCTGAGAACGTTTTTACATCAAGTTTTAAAAGCCAAATGATGAACACAAATACCTTGAAGTTAAAAACGATGCAATGATGGATGTAGATTTGTTAAGACCAGGCACTGTGCCGATATCACCTGACACAATTCTTTGGTTTGAATTTTTATTAAACCCATCTCTGTTGCAACAACATTTATCGAAACCTTTTCCCGGTAAATGATCTAACCTCAATACTTTTAACAAGTAATAAACAACGCTTGGTAAAACTTCTGTTATTAATTTATAATTATTATTTTAGATCCTTCGCCTACAGATTTGATAATTAAATTTATGACAATAAATTCAGAGCAGAAGGAAAATGAAGTAAAAATTGTTGACACAGAAACAAATGATACAAAACCTACCGTTACAAATAAGTTGACTCATAGAAATCTTGCTTTGAAAATTCTTTCTCTGAAAGTAGCAGCACACTTAAAATGGGACTTGGATATATTGGAGAAAAAATTACCATTGCCAATACAATTGACATTACTACAAGATCTTATTTATATAACATCGGATTTATCCATTGAAATCCCTACAGTACCTGAATTTACGATGCATCCAATTTCTGACCAAGTTTTGTTTACAATTGTTCTTTATCACAGGTGGCATATAAGAGCAATTCTTTATAGAGCCTTAAATAACAAACAATCGAAACAACAATTCCTTCATATGTAAGAGTTTTAAGGTTTATATAATTCATGAAGATATTTCTCATTTGTTTTACATGAAATGATTCTTGCGTTAGTCCAGGTATTCAAGAATCAACCTATGTTCCTCCTGGTGTAATAGATGATATAATTCGGAAATTAGAAGCCCAAGTGTCTAATAGTATTAATGTTTTAAATAATATTCTTGAGAGTAATGACATACATCCAAAAATGTTGTCTTTTGACACTTTTCAAATGTTAACTGAGGACAGCACAGAAATTAAACAAAATTGGGAAAATATGTACTCTATAAATATAGATGAATTTAAATGTCAGGTATGTCTATCACGTTTCTTATGTGTATATTTGTACTTCATTATTTTTACATTTTTAGATACATTATGATCTAGCACGATTTCATTTATTAAAAGAAGAATATCAGGAAGCAAAGCGTCATATTGTACAAGCAAAAGAGTTATATTATAAGCTTGATAAATCAGAAAGTAGACTATATTGTAAAATAAAGAAAGAATATTTAGATGGTTGTTGTCTAGCATGTGAAGTACCTGTAGAAGGTATTACTTCTGGTCTTACTCAACAATTACAGACTTCAATTAAAGATCAATACACTGTAGGTACAATTAAATGTTATGTAGACAACTTATTTATATATAATGTTAATAATGAGAATTTGTTGCAGAATATATTACAAATTTTACAAGCAGATAATATTTCTAGAGAGATACCACAAGTTTACAGAGATAATTTAGAGCTCGACGTACAAGGGGGATCTGTTAATAGAAAGATTGTAGTAGCTCGCGATCTTTTGCTTCAAATTCAGTGTTTAAACTTGGTTCGAAAGATTCTAGATGGTAGCGTCATCCTTGGTGATTACGTGACGGAAATACAAGCAGCTGGAAGCAAAGGAGTTGATGTATTTTTTTGGGTAAAATAATGTATTCTCTACTCCAATTTACTTTTATTTGTTTCAGTATTGTTTGTGTTACATAAGAATTGTTCCAGGCACTTGGAAATGTCTTAGAAAAGACAAATGCCATGGATAAAAAACGTATTTCTCGGTATCTTCTTTACCTTATAAATATGAGTAATATTGATGGAATTGCCTCCAAAATACTTAGTGATCCGTCATATGTCGCACTGTTTGACGACAAAGAATTGGATGAAATTAGAAAAGCAGCTAACATCGAAGAGCTCGAATTGCCAGAATTATTATTGAAGAATGATTGGGGCATTTCGTTAGTTACATATACCCAAAGTCCAAAGATAGAAATATTTGAATTAGAACAAAAATTGATACATTCGTATAACCCCGCCGAAATTCACGAGATACTAGTACATTTGGATGGAAAACATCGAATGAAACCTTTATGGCACGTAAACAGTTGTTGGGAATTACCAATTCCATTGCAAAGCGTCGTAATGTCACTTCCTAGAGGTTTCCTTCAAGACTATTCATATGTATTATTAGCGAAAAGTAGAGAATTGGTAATGTCTAAAGATTTTGAAGGAGCAATTGAAATCTTAAACGTACTAGAGAAAGAAGCGCAACAGCATACTCAAAGTGGTAACACATTAATATTTAAATTATGTAAATTGGTAAACTGGGAGTGTCTTCTCGTTGAAATATGGAGATGCCTTCACATGTGGCCAGCAACAAATGTATGTGATACACAAAGTTTAATTACGAGGTGTAAACAATGCTTGGGAGCATTGCAAGCCACGGATCAAGTTATTCCACGACAAGAAATCATAGAATATTGCACCGTGTTTCTTTTAAATATGGCTGAATGGGACTATCTTACAAGCTTAGAGAAGCGTTGGAGTTACTCGGAATTTGCAGCGGCCATCAGTAGTGTTTGTCAAGACATTGTAAAATACAAAGGAAGTAGAAAATTTCCAAGAGAAGCCTGGGATATGATTTTAGCTGCGTTCGGACCAAGCAGAGATCAGCCGCAGAAACGAAGCAACAGTGGTAACAGTGGTACTAGTAGCGGCAGTGCTTCAAGAGACGTTATCGCTAGCATAAGCGGTACTCTCGGCAGATTACGTGAACCTATGGTTCTTACCGTTGTCATTTCATTGTTAGCACGTTTACGAAACGTTCTACGCGATGAATCTAGTCTAGAATTACATACACAGTATCTTTCTCTTTGGCCAGCTGGTGTACCAAACGCCAACTCTTATAACATCAGAAGTATAGGAGAATTACTGTTTCAACTATTAACGCAGGCTCTAAAATATTACCCAAGCAATGTTCCTTGGTTGCGACTGATGGGAGATCTTAATTTTGGTAAATGTTCGAACGATATTTTTTTGGTAAAGAAAATACTAATATGATACGTTTAGTTTTAGGATACTACGAAAGTGCAATAAAGTATTATCTGGAAGCTATTATGGTGGCTAGCGATCTGTTCAGTCAACCAGTACCACGATCACAAATCGACGATCTTGTATACAGACGCATGATAAAGTGTTGTGCCCATCTACAGTGTTATACCCAAGCTGCTGTTTTATGTCAATTTTTGGAAGAAGTAGATTACTCTTTAGCATTCAAAATGGCAGCAAGTGATCAAAAAAGCTGTGCTTCAGCCGATGCTATGGATGCGTATTATCATTGTATCTGGGATACTACGATACTCGAGTATCTTATTCATTTGCACACGAAACGTGGCGAACACCATAGGAAGCAATTAGCGGTTAGTAAATAATTCATTTATTTAAACTTTTATATTGAATTTTATATGGATTTATGTGATATTGAATTACTATTCTAGATTAAAGTGATTGGTTTATTGGAATTGAATTCGAATAACAACGAGGAAATACAACGGGAGGCTGCGAATATTCGGAAAGCAAAATTTTTACGCGCATTAGCGAAACAGTATGTTTATTGACTAAAACATATGTATATAAATTGTGTATGATTGCATCATAATTTTTCTATCGCTAATATAGCGTTTTGTACATTTGTAATGATATATTGATAATTAAAACAATCAAATCTCCCTCCTTTTCCTCGTTCAACCCGTACCAATCACAGCTTTTTGTTTTTTGCTCTAATCGATCTAATGAAACGCGAAAGTAATAAAACAATTTTATTACATATAACCTTTGATTAAATTAACGGTATACTTTAAAAAAAGAACTATTTTAAAAATCGAAAAATAGATATTTTCGCAAGATTGCGGTTTTATAACAATTTCTAATGTATCATTTTTTTCAAGTGAGTCATCTACGATCAGCCCTTATCGTTGAATACATTGTCGTTGCGTAGTGCGATGAGTGCATATTACTGTTGTACGTAAACGTATACATAAATTATGTTTACATTTGAAAAATAAAGTGTACAAAAGACGATTGCTTTTCAACGGAAGAATATAATAATACGAGAACTTATCGAATCGTAAGCAAAATACGTAAAATCTATAAAGCGTACAGTTCTCGCAGGATTCAGTCTTTATAAACAAGACGCCATGATGTTCTTGCAACGCCATAATACTGTTATTCGATGTTTCGTTCTTTCAACGATAAATATTTGTACATAGTTAAGATTGCACGAGAAATATGAAAAGGATAAATCTTATCGTATCAGAATAATTTTTAGACATTCAGTTTCGGTGAGTACGTAAGGAGGTTCGTGAAATAAATACTTCCTGATATTCTAAAAGTTCTCTGTACTATTGCTCGTTGTGAATGCCCTGAAAGGAGCGAAAGAGACAGAGATCGAAAGATGTAAAGAGAGAGGAAAAGAGACAGAAAGCGAGAGAGAGAGAAAGATTATGAACGCTGCGAGTGGCTATACTGTATTACAAGAAAATTTGCTTCGATGTTTATCGTGTTCATAGAACTGTTGTTGTTAAGAATACGATAAAGCCGAGGTGTGAAATCGATAAATTCACGGATATTTTTATTCGATTGTAATGGCGAAAGGTTGGCGTCAAGAATGTGGTAAAAGGAGTGGGAGATCGTAGTAAAAACAATGCTGGATCGCTAGGCAATTCTACGTAAGTGCATATGCAATTTATTGCTAATTATTATCTTTTAGACAATTCCTTCGAATTTACATTTTTGATACCTTATTTTTACAGTTTACATTCTATGGATGCCGTATATTAAATTTTCAAAACGTCTAACCTCACATTTAACGTGATATTTGTTTCCTTACCATTATCAATTTTTCTTTTTTGTTCAAATTAAATGAACTTTGAAGTTTTTGTAATGTTTTATACAATGGTTCGCATTAATAATTGAACATCTTAATGTGCAAGGTATTATTATTGTATATTTATATGTTTATAATAATGTTAACCAGGTGATTGTTTTTTAGTGTATTAAAGTGAACATTATATTTTGTAAAAATATATATTTTATTTATTTAATTACTTTATTAACTAAGAAGAAATAAGTTACATAATGTACAAATTTCATGTTGCAAAAATATTTGAATGCTTAAAATAAAACATTTTTAAATCATATATTAATGCGAGCTATTGTATCTGTATACGTATGTAATTTTATAACTGAAAATAAAAGAGATGTACATAATTTAAAGCTATTTGTATTGTCTGTTGTAGAAATTTTAGAGGTAGAAAATTTGTGTTATTTTGAATTGCAGGTTGTTCAGAAACAGAAGCACTACATAAAACATAGGCATAGTTTGTATATTACAGTATTTTTTAACATGGATGATGAAGAGGGATCATCAAGTTCTGGACCTATGTCTTCGTTAAATAGTTTATTTTCATTTACTAGTCCTGCTGTTAAAAAGTTACTCGGTTGGAAACAGGGTGACGAAGAAGAAAAATGGGCAGAAAAGGCAGTTGATTCTTTAGTAAAAAAGTTGAAAAAGCGGAAAGGTGCAATAGAAGAATTAGAACGTGCTTTAAGTTGCCCAGGTACCCCTAGTAAATGTGTGACAATTCCAAGAAGTTTAGATGGAAGGTTACAAGTTTCACACCGTAAGGGTCTACCACATGTAATTTATTGTCGAGTATGGAGATGGCCAGATTTGCAATCGCATCATGAACTCAAACCACTGGAACTATGTCAGTACCCTTTTTCTGCAAAACAGAAAGAAGTTTGCATCAATCCTTATCATTATAAAAGAGTGGAGAGTCCAGTATTGCCACCAGTACTGGTTCCTAGACATTCAGAATATGCTCCTGGACACTCCTTGTTACCGTTTCAACAAATAGCAGAACCAACAATGCCACACAATGTGTCCTACTCATCCAGTGGGTTTAATGCTGGATCCACTGGTGGTGTAAATCCAACTTCACCTATGTCTTCTGTTGGGTCTGTTCCTAGCCCAGGAAGCACAACATCACCAAATCCACAAAGTCCATATGGCACTAATGGATTACCAGAAACACCACCTCCAGCATATTCTCCTCCTGAAGATGGTTCACAACCTGGACAATCACCACCTCCAGATCCAGTGGCAATGGATACAACTGGAACTGCAGAAGTAGCTCCTGTGTGCTACCAAGAACCACCTTATTGGGCCTCCATTGCATATTATGAGTTGAATTGCAGGGTGGGTGAAGTTTTTCATTGTCATTCTCATTCTGTAATCGTGGATGGCTTTACAAATCCAAGCAACAATTCTGACCGTTTCTGTCTTGGACAATTGTCTAATGTAAATCGCAACTCTACTATTGAAAATACAAGAAGACATATAGGAAAAGGAGTACATCTATATTACGTAGGTGGTGAAGTTTATGCAGAATGTTTATCTGATTCTGCTATATTTGTGCAATCTAGAAATTGTAATCACCATCATGGATTTCATCCTAGCACAGTTTGTAAGATTCCACCAGGATGTTCACTGAAAATATTTAATAATCAAGAGTTTGCTCAGCTGCTCTCACAAAGTGTTAATCATGGTTTTGAGGCAGTGTATGAGTTAACAAAAATGTGTACTATAAGGTAAAAACTGATTACATTTTCGAAAAATAATACTTGGAAATATTTTTGATATGCATATTTGTATTAATGTATTTGTTGTAGAATGTCATTTGTTAAAGGATGGGGTGCTGAGTATCATCGACAGGATGTTACATCAACTCCCTGTTGGATTGAAGCACACTTACATGGACCCTTACAGTGGTTGGATAAAGTGTTGACACAAATGGGTTCCCCCCATAATGCCATAAGTTCTGTATCATAATTTGTGCTTCACGTTTAATAGGAAGAAGATAAAATAGTGATATGTAGGAAAAAACCAGATTCAAGAGCAGTTTTTAATATTAAATAGTGCGATAGTAATATAGACATTGAAAGAGATTTAAGAAAAAAAAATAGTAGAAGTGGTAAGTGGAAAAAATGCTGTCCCAATATGAGATCACCTATCTCATGTAAGCACAATGAAGAAAGTTCATAATATAATTCGTATGAAAGTAAAGGATTGCAAAGGTCAATAAGTATTGAATGTGATCCTTGATAACAAAATTTCAGAGATCACAATGTGCACATAAAAGCTGTACAATTTTTTGGCTGTTACATAGGAAAAGAATTCTAGTAAAAAAATATGTCTTACATATATAAGAAGAATCATATTTTTCAAATATATTCAACTACATCTAATACATTATTTTATATGGAAAATTGTTATGAAAATATTTCCTAATGCTATATCACGAATGCTTCGTTAGATTGTTTTTCAAGACTTAATGCTGAAATTGCAGGTTGAAAAACGAATCGATTAAACTGAAGCGAGAACGATTAGCAGCTAATAGAAACAGATGGTTCAAATTTCGATTGAATAACGGTGCAAGATTTACGATTTTTAAAACAATATTTGCATGCTTATAAGCATCTGATTTATGCCTGAACAAGCCTTAGATTATTCAAATTTATTACTATAACGAAGACTATAATGTAAATGTAATTGATTTCGATTTTACTAATGAAAATGCAATTAATATTTCAATATAGACATCAGATGCTGATCTCACGTTGACGTTTGCAAGTTAACTGCATCCGATGACATATTGAAATATTAAATATATTCGATGAATGCGTATGAAAAAAAAATATTTTTTGTGCAATGTTCCCTAACATTCGTGTAATGTAAGCCTTTGGATGTAGCCTTATAAGAAACTAATGTGACAACTAACATAAAGTCATATTTACAGCTTGTCAAATTTGAAAGTATAATATAAGAATTATACGTTAACTTTGCACTTTTCAGAAGTATTTGTAAATTTTAAACTTTAACCGAAGTTAATGTACATATTAAAAAAAAAACAAGAAGTATATCAATTATGTGTATTGTATCGTTCGCGATTTAAATTGGTATTACATTTTGTACAAAATGGAAAAATTTTATTAGTTGAATTCTGAAAAGTGCCAAAATCGTATGTATGTGATGCTTTATCTTTCTTAAAATAAACCAGTTATTTCTGTGAACGAATAGACAATATAAGCCTTATCGATAAAACCGATGAATTTTGCATAAAAAATATTCAGTTACAAGAAAAATGTTATCGTAAACTTTAGAATAATAAATATACGTGTTCTGTGAGAGTACCATTACAATATTGAACGTACGAATCATCTACCGCATACATGCGCTAGAAAATGAGCTGGAAAGGTCATATGAATATTTAGTTGAGATTAAATAAAAAAACCTGGGAAAGTGCTATACGTGTTAAGAAATTATAAATAATGCTACTGCCTTTTTATGTAATTTATAACAGAAAATCAGTTTAGCGATAATTGTTTACCTATACTGATTACTTTTTTAATTTTTGCATTAAGATACACAGGTATTACCATTAGCGTAACTGGGATTTTTGTTTGTGAACTTGGTTCTTTATCTTAGACAATAGTTCTACATAAGGTACGATCGATATTTGGAAATTTGAAAATGAAAAAGTTATTAAGCTATATAAGGTACCCTCACGCAAGTCCCTACTGCAGTTACGCCAATGGGTATTACTGAAGAAAGCACAAAACTGTTTGGCTCAACATTGTAATCGGAAATACCTGTGATATGATTTGTATTCGAATGATCTTCTGGCTTGATAACTTTATAGTTATTCTACAGATGATTTTTTATGTATATTCTACGTATATTTGAATTACAAGTATGGAGACGGTATACGGATCATAATAACGTTATCTAAGAGTACTTGAGAACTGTGGAACAGAAGTCACTGCCGCTTGCTCTTACTTATTTGTCGATGTACCTAGCTGTGATTCTTTGCTACCAAATTTAGCAAATTATGTGTGGGTGATCAGCGATGCTCTATATTTGCTCTATCGAATTAAACGAAGATACGAGTATCTGGATTAAACAAAAATGCCAATCGTACAAGGAAATATGACAATAAACCTCCGTTCTAAACAAGAGAGATGATCTTTTTACAACGAGGAATAAAGATTTTCACTCATAAGAACGTTATCGTACCATTTACCGTTTTGTTCGTGATCACCTGTTCAATTTGTTTAGTTAAGATAAAAAAAAAGACAATACTTTTCCTTCTTTTTATCCAAACAACGCTGTAATTGGTATTGATAAAGTTTTAAAGTATATACATCAATTGTGAAAACAGATGTGAATTAATGTTTTAGGTATATCGAGCTTGTCGCACTCGTAACGAGCAGAATGCTTTATCGCAATATGTATGTATGAATAGTTACATATGTAATACCTATGTTAGAGCTTTTACTATTTGTTGATATTTTTCTTCATTTCTTTGTTAATCGATGCACAGTGTATCACAATTCTCGTTTCCAAATCACCTGAATATTGCTCCTTATTTTGTTCAATTTTCTTTTGCAGAACTTGTAACTATGAACGAAGGCCTATGTTATCACTGATGCGATTATGATGTTACGAGTTAACGTGTTTAAATACAGTTGTAGGGAAGGATTCTCCTACCTCTCGTCGTAACTGTCCATGTTTGATAATGTAATGGCAAGAAGAGATTTTTTAAGACTAAAGGTTCATACAGTAGACTCGTTATATAGAAAATTTACCGACTAGGAGCCAACGAATGGGGGATTCCCTAACGTCACCATTTTTTCTAAAGAAGCCTACAATACTCGGTGTACATGCCGCCCAAGTTGTGCCTTGGATGCCTTTTATATTACAAGAAGTTTTTAGCACGTATAACACAATGGAACTAACAGATGCTCGCTGAATAGCACTGAAATATTTTTAATATCTAGTATTAGTAAGATATATAAATCTCAAGTTTTTGCCTACAACGATGAATTATAAATATATATTTAATGTTATTATAGTTTTGCAGAGAGGAATGTACATGAATGTATATAAATGGACTATGGTAATTGGTGATTTGGAAAGAGACTCGTGATCGATTCTATTATAGATGTCAGTCAGTGTAAATAAATTCTTTTAGTTGTAAAAAACACATTATGTACGTCTGCAGAATCCATTCCACATTTATCGTTTAGAACAGATAGCTGCGGGCTTTCTCTTTTAATATTTACTTTGAGTCTGTTGAGATGCCGATATCATTATCACTATTGTATTGTCGTTCTGAACGATGATGATGACAAGAGACACAACTGTCTGTCACGATCGATAAGTACGATATCGTATAGTGTAAGTTTTTCCTGTAAAATTGTAAAGATCAATGGAACAGATCAGATACAGTGAAATACGTCGATAAGTGTACACATCCCCTTAATCGTCGAGATAATGTTCGCTCGTTGTTATACGAAATGATATCACGGAACGATGAATGATACAATAGCGGGTACAGATCTCTCGTAGCCAATATTACGGTATCGTACGACTCTGCTATCGTTATAAGATTATGAAATTCATTAAGAAAAGGACTTCGTACATGTTAGCCTATATCGTAAAGTGTATTCTCTTTTACTCCGCCAATCTTTCGAAACGAAACTTCATTTGTGCTACTGTATCTGCATTTCTGGTAATTACTGTGTTGTGCAGCTATCAAGTATAAATAAAAAAAAATATTTCTATCTGTGTATCTATGTGCAATGAAAATATTGTAGTTTTATTAATTTAATTATCGATATATTCCCATTGTCCCAACAATATAGACGGAATTCGAATTCAAATAATTGAGAAAAATGGCGCCATTTTTATACAAGTATAGGTTAATTTCGTATTCGAAAGTTATTGGTCTATTTACGAACGCTATAGTTAATTCGATGCTTTGTTCGCGAAACATGTTTTTAAAACAATAACGAATGTTCTTCGACTTTTCCAGTATAATGTTGACATACAGTGATGAGTATTCGTGAGATTATGGACTTCGATATGTAGAGACATTATTTCTAATTTGAGGATTGAATGTTTTATTCGGAATTGTTTTAAAGTTTACGATTGGATACAAATGATCAAAAATGAATACGGTAAGTCGCATATTACGAGTGTAACGCAAATTCTCGAGTTGTCGACATGGTTCTTGCGGATGCATTAAAATTACACAACCAGCATTTAAAGTTTTCCTAGTCTTTGAAGTTTGCAGTCTTATTACGCATAATTATGTTTACTGTATATATATGTTATTGTAGGTTTGAATAGACCGTTCTGAGAATATTCAAGACATACTATCGCCATTAGCGTAATTGGGATTCTTGTGTCGAATGGGTTAGATTTCCAAATTTCTGATAGCGTTAATGACCCGTGTTAGAAAGGAAATCTGAAGAATGTTGGAAAATATCCGAGTCTTCTAATATCCTCTGTGCAAGTGGTAGGTTCTCTTATATCGCCATTTCCCTGATTGAATCCTGCGATGCAAGGTAATTTGCCATTCCTCTTTCCCTTACTGGAAGTTTAATACGGTTTGAACCTATACAAAGCATTTCTCTCAGAAACCCATCCTAAGAGGAGAAATAAGGAGAAAGAAAGTACGAGGAATCAGCGAAGTTCGCGGAATGATTTTTCGGCGGTGGCGCCTCCGTTGTCATTTCCATCTCCACCTCGGCACCACCGCCACCTCGAGCACTATCTCCGTCACCGGCAATTCCACCCCTTCTCTCCATTCCATTGGTAACGACGCCTCCGCACGGCGCCGATCAATAAACGTTGTTCTCGGCGACGCCGGCGTCGGGAGCGTCGCTGCGTGAAGGCATCCGCAAGCAATCGACGTGTCGCCACGAAACTTGTACACGGGTGCGATCGAAAAGGAGCGTCGCGTGGAAATTAAAAAAAAAAAAACAAAAACGACTGGTAATGCGACCAACGCATTTATTGCCGTTTTGCAGAACGAGACTTATGTCAAGAAAGTGCAACCGTACCAGCGGGATTCGGAACCAGAGAACTTCGGATTGGAGCAATCTTTAGGACCCACCCACGGCACGATGGCTCAGGTGAGTTCTCGTCAAAATAATACGATCGTTATTGGTTTATACGCGGGTTAAGCGTCGTTCAATTATTATCCGTTTCATTTAATTCGACGGTGTTTCAGTTGACTCTAGAGACCCTTGCTCGTTCTGCGCGATGAGCGTGGGTATTGCTACTCTGTCAACAACTGTTGCTGATTGCTAGCAAACATTTCTGTTTCTTTTATTACCATTTTTTAATCACGAACCGACTGTACTTAGTTGAATTCTTTTTTAGAGATGTAACTTTGGTTTTGAGAGGCATCGGTTATCGACTATGTGGACAAGTAGTCGCGGTCTGTCTGGGCAGAAAAAGTAGTTTGGCGCCGTCATGATCAGCCGGACTACGACGCATAGTCGACTTTCCCGATGCTGTACGAACTGAGACTGTTTATCGTCCGTAATGATAACAGCAAATTCCTGCATGATCATGGTTTATGGAACACGCTACGTCCATCCCGGGTCCAGTAAATTACGCAAAAGCGGAATAAATACGACTCGACTTTGCTGAGCCTGAAATAAATTTCTCTGAAGATTTTCTAACGAGGAACCTTAGGTTGCTTCAATTTTTTTTCTGACACATGTTGCGGTTCTTGAAAAACTGCGACGCGTGTTTTACTATACTATCATTTAGTTTGAAGATATCCACCCTTAACGATTTAACAGAAATAATTGAAATTGTAATCATTGATTTCTTTTGAATTATTGAATTCTTTTGAAGTTAATTGAATTTGTTTTCTATAGTAAGTTTGTAAGTCTAATTTATTTGAGAAGATAAACTACCCCCTTGAATATTTCTTTATTAGATGAAAGATTTCTTTGAGGTGTATTAAAAGTAGTGATGCTTGAATTTTCATGAGGAATAATAATAAAACCATAAGGTTCCTTGTAAGACTTCTTGATTAAGAACTAGTATCAATACCTGCAGAGCAAATATTGTACGTCCACTCCTAGCGTTTTAACAGTAATGTTTGTTCAGTAAGCTATCTATATGTTGAGATACCGAATCTATTAATATAGGTACCTAACATACACACGTGGAACTAATGGTTTTTAATTTCGAATAGGGATTTATCGATAGACTCAAGTGCTATGCTATATATACGTCCTGTTATTAATATTCGGACACTACATTTAAAGAGCTCTCCATATGCATTTACAATTATTAAGCAATTATTACTATTCAGTAAAGTGTTCCTGTATTGATATCATTATTTATTCAATTAGACGATGCGGAGACGTAAACACATAGTGTTTAGCAAACATGCAATTTACTTCAAATGTTCATTCAAGCAAGAACAGTTCTTAGGAAATTATTGTCACATTTGAGTTATTGAATTATTTTTTTACACTTAATTTTCTACTTTCTAATAGTTATAATAATTTATTTTTAATTAAATATCCGTGTCAAGAATTTAAATTAAAATTCTTTACCAATCACATTCAAACTTGTAAAACTTGTAAAAAATAACTAAATGGAATTTCATGAATTTAAATTAGAGAATGTATTATTGAGCAACAATATCAAAGTGTCCCAATATTATAAGAATTTCTGCACATTTAATCCGAACATGGAGGTAATATCAAAAAAGAATCGTTTCATTGTTAGTTATGTACGTACAAAGTGGTAAAACCCGTGAAGCATTTAGCTGCCCGCAGTAGTGTGGAAACCGTGACGATCAGATAGAAACATTTATTCGTGTATTCAAGAAATTTCTTGGCGTTAACCCATTTACGAATGAAAGGTTCAGCGTCATCTTGATTCCGAGATATTGGTTAAAGTTCGAACACCGGTCGCTTCTTCTCTGCCGATCAGTTTCATTAAACATCAATCATTGAACAATGCAGAATACCTACGTGCCGTGTTCGTGCGATGCATACACATTCGTAATCAGCCGTGTCGCGAGTTTTTGTGATCGATGAGCCGTGCATACGTGCCCTGTACGGATAACATGGAGCCTCAAATTATTAAAAATATCTGTTGCGAAAATTATTACGATTTTTTTGGAGACGATTTTTTGGTGTAATGTGCGAGTTTGTGGATTTGGAAAGGGACTTCAATGTTCGAATTATAGAATGGGGGGATGCACCAGTGCTCGAATTCTCAAATTTCCAAATTCTCAATTCTAAGTTTTCAAATTTCCAAATTCTCAAAATTCCAAGTTTTCAAATTCCAAATTTTCAAATTTTCAAATTCTCAAATTCCAAGTTCTCAAATTCCAAATTCCCAATTCCAAGTTTTCAAATTTCCAAATTCTCAAAATTCCAAATTTTCAAATTTCCAAATTCTCAAATTCCAAACACTCAAATTTCCAAATTCTCAAATTCCAAGTTCTCAAATTCCAAATTTTCAGATTTCTACATTCTCAAATTCCAAACACTCAAATTTCCAAATTCTCAAATTTCCACATTCTCAAAATTTTCCAAATTCTCAAAATTCCAAGTTTTCAAATTCCAAATTTTCACATTTCCAAATTCTCAAATTTTCAAATTCTCAAGTTTCCAAATTCTCAAATTCCAAGTTCTCAAATTTCCAAATTCTCATATTCCAAGTTCTCAAATTCCAAGTTCTCAAATTCCAAATTCTCAAGTTTCCAAATTCTCAAGTTTCCAAATTCTCAAATTCCAAGTTCTCAAATTTCCAAATTCTCAAATTCCAAGTTCTCAAATTCCAAATTCTCAAATTTCCAAATTCTCAAATTTCAAGTCCTCAAATTCCAAATTTTCAGATTTCCAAATTCTCAAATTCCAAACACTCAAATTTCCAAATTCTCAAATTTCCACATTCTCAAAATTTTCTGAATACTCAAAATTTTCCAAATTTTCGAATTCTCAAAATTTTCCAAATTAACACAATTTTCAAATTTCTCCAAATTTTCCAAATTCTCACAATTTTCAAAGTTCTCCAAATTTTCCAAATTCTCACAATTTTCCAGGTTCTAAAAATTTTCCAAACTCAAAATTTTTCCAAATTTTAAAAATTCTCAAAATTTTCCGTTCTCAAAAATTTCCAAGTTTTCAAATTCTCCAAGTTTTCCAAGTTCTCAAAAATTTCCAAATTCTCCAAGTTTTCCAAGTTCTCAAAAATTTCCAAATTCTCCAAATTTTCCAAGTTCTCAAAAATTTCCAAATTCTCCAAATTTTCTAAATTCTCAAATTCTAAAACTCTCCACACAAATCCATAAAAACTTTGATCGCATAGACCACGAATCAACCCCACGATTCTATCCATCACACATAACTCATAAAAAAATCCTAGTTACGTGAATGTTGGCACCTCTTCCTGCATTCGAAAGTTAAAGTATTACGTAAACATTAAACGAAAGCGCTTCAAAGTGAGCATTAAACGAAGAAAATGGAAAATGCAATTACAGTTCCATCAGCCTAAACGACAAATGATAGAGTCCTTCTAAAAAAGTACGATCGACTAAATTCACGCATTGGTTGTGTAACATCGCAACACTTTCGCGTTCGCTTTGAGATTCGCAATGATGCGCATAGCTCGAATCATCAATTTACGATCAATGGTAATCAACCGCGTCGATCGTGGTGTGTAACAATCATCGTCGAACCCGAGTTAAAATACACGGTAAGAGGAGAAACGACACGCGAACTGGTTGTAAAAGCGGTCT